GGATGTGAAAGTAGAGAATAGCATTATTCAGTCCACAACTTTTAGTACTATATTTCTTTTAGTTGTAGGCTGATAATGATCTTGAGTCCGACTAAAAATATTGCCCCGTGTGAGGATCGAACTCACGACCTTCAGATTATGAGACTGACGCGCTGCCTACTGCGCTAACGAGGCTATTCATGTACAATACTTAATTTTAATATTTTTGTGCCTCTTATTTTTTTGCGCACGCACTTTCCCTGCTCTTTCCGTTTCGATTGAAAGGGGCACTTGAAAACGCCCCAATTTTTCAAAGTCCGAATATTTGAAGTATTTGAGGATAATATGACTCAATTATAATTATGTAAACCAGATTAGTGAAAATTTTAGCCTGGGAGCCACTTGCAGTTGAGATATTTTGGGTTAAAAGAGAAAAGAACAATAGGGTTGAGTAAATGACGTCATTTACTCACAATTTAGATGCTGAATAAAATTGATAATTTTTATCCGACACATTTTACTGTGAAGAAAATATGTTGCCTGGCTAATATTGGGGCGATATAGATATGTTTAACTAAGTTTGAAGTCATTTCCAATTTTTATTCATTTTCATCGAAGTGCCCCTTGAAGATCTTTCCTATTTTCCTTACTTGATTTTTTAACTGACTTCCAAAGAAATAATAATCTTAATATTTGTGCTGGAATAATTTCAGGTTATCCTTCTTCGACAAGCGTTCAAAAACATCGTGTTCTACGCCACTGAAAGAGGAAAACACGAAGAGATTACTTCTGAGAACGCCATGACTCTCAAAGCAACTGCAAAAGGAACTGTCAAGGATTTGATGTTCAACCCTGGAGAATATAAGTCTGACTTTAGGGTAAGACCGCATTTCTTTGACTCCTATTTACAAATTTAACATCTTTGGTACTCGTCCCTAAAAAAGTGCACTTAACAATGAGTAGGTCTAGCCGTACCAAGCCGTACCGTAACCGTAACTACGCGTTGATTGGATGAGTTGCTGTAAGCTAAGATAATGGGAAGTCATTTCAATGTCACGGCATGTCGTACCGTGTACGTGCTGTAAGTCAGTATGGTATGTTTCCCACTCATACGATAACCATTTGTATGGAAAGTCATTTCAATGTCATGGCAAGTCGTACCGTGTACGTGCTGTAAATCAGTACCGTACGTTTCCCACTCATACGATAACCATTCTTATGGTAAGCCATTTCAATGTTACACCATGTCGTACCGTGTACGTGCTGTAAGTCAGTACCGTATGTTTCCCACTCATACGATAACCGCTCTACAACATGTCGCAACGTGTACGTGCTGTAAGTCAGCCGGGTACCGTACGTTTCCCACTCATACGATAACTATCTTTATGGTAACCATTTCAATATTACCGCATGTCGTACCGTGTACTTGCTGTAAGTCAGTACCGTATGTTTCCCACTCATATACCATAGCCATTCTTATGTTAAGTCATTTCAATATTACCGCATGTCGTACCGTGTACTTGCTGTAAGTCAGTACGGTATGTTTCCTATTCATACGAAGCTCTTTATATAACTAAGAAAGATTTTGATTGCCTGTAATTGCTTCCATAAATTGTTCCTACACAACCCCCCCACCGAAAAAAGGCTCGCATCCCATAATGTCTCATAACATTTCCTTCGTTCGCCATTTCATCTCATTTATCATTTATTTACTTTCTCTTGTAGAACACATTCCCTACATGGGCAAAACACCTGACCACCAAACCCCCAGAAGAGAGAACAGACGAGGAGATCAGGTTGTTGATTCGATTGCTGAAGCAGCTAAAGGGTTTCAGACGATACAGCCCTGAAGTACAACTTTCTATGTGTAGAGTACTCAAATATGACTTGTGAGTATCAGCTCCATCACACCACCACAGGGAGCCCATGATCGCTTTAGATAAAAGGCATAAACGTCAATACTTACACTAGTAGTTTTTAATGTTTTTAGTTGATTTTCCTGTTTGTCTGTATTGCAGTCTAACAGACTTTTTCAGTAGCACAAATTGATAATTTCTAGCGCGCTGATTGGCTATTTTTTATGTTTGGTGAGAGGACAGACAAATAAACTGACGTCAACGAGCGCGCGCTTTTTCCGTTGGTTGTTTTGATCTCTAAAAAACGTCTAAAAAGTCCTTTTAAATGAACTTTTGTGGTAAAAAGAAAACAAATCGAGGTCCCTTTTCTATGGTCTGTACTCTTATCGAACATGGAATGGCGTCAACATTCGCTGCGCTCGTGGTTCCACTTGAGTTTGGATCATAAGTTGACGCCATTCCATGTTCGATAAGAGTACAGAACATAAATAATGGACCTTGATTTGCTTAATCTTTATCTTTAAATATATAATCAAATACGAGGAACGCTTTCGTATTACGTGGGCTATCTGTGTCAAAATACCTAAAGACTGTGCTGTGGCCTCTTTAAGGACCTGATATTCATTAGAGGCGGGAGGGCTGGTGCAAATGGGGGGAGGGCTATTCATCATCATCATCATCATCATCATCATCATTTAATTAGATTTTATGCAACGAAAAAAGGGGAGGGTTACAAAATTTCTGCAACTCTTCGAGGGGGTCACTATTTAAATGGCAGGTCCCTTACTTACGTGTCGTTAGCGCCTAAATAAAGTTCCCAGAAATAAAGGACGAATTTAATTTTTTTGGAGCAGAAAGAATATGAATGCAAACACGTATATTCTTCGTTAGCACATGACGTCATAGCCGCCATCCTGGATGAATTTAACAACATAGCCATTATGTCTTCTGTTATTTCATTCCCTTAGGAATGATCGAAAACCTGCAATATAAGATATTATATCAGTCATAAATGTAAAATTGAATTTTCTTTCTTTTTTTTCAGGTATAATCGTAGGCGCGTCATTATTCGCAAAGGTCACATTGCCCAGCGGTTATACTTCATATTTAGTGGTTCAGTGTGCGTGACGGTTGATGATGATGACGAGCATTCCATGTTCTCTCAACAAAGTTCAGGAGAAACGTCTATTTTACAGCGAGGAGATTATTTTGGCGTAAGTATCGTATGATCTTTCATCGGACAATTTTCTGGAAGCATTTTTTATCGTTTAGATATGGAGTTTTGGACTAACGATGACAATAATCACACAGGAGTAAACACATAAGTCTGAAAAAACAGTGCGGTATATGAAGGCATTTATGGGTCATCCAGGGGGCAAATAGACGCTTTGTTACAACAATAACGTTGATTGACATTTATGGTTCATAACATGACAATTTGACAAGAGATGAAATAAAACAAGTGAACAGTTCTGACGAAATTTCTCGTGGGGTCGTCATTTCATAATCTTTGTTTTGTTTTGCCCCCCC